TGATTCTGAGCTCTTCAATCAGATTTCAACCATGCTGAGCATCTACAAAATCCCACAGGTATGAATGGAAGTTGAAGCTAAATCTTCTTTGTAAATTCTCTAGAGAGTTCAAAAGATGACACTGCTGGATAAAATGAAAGAAATGGAGTTGGATGATAGAGCTTAAAATTCATCTGAAATAAAACACTATCCTTGTATTACATCATTGATGCTTCTTCATTCTGACAACAATTAACAGTATGTTTTTTGAAACATACTCTAGCTTCACAGGGTTTCCCTTTTTGCTACTGAACTGGATTCAGACCAAGGGTCTTTATCCACACATGAGCTGAAGTGCTCTCAGCCCGTGCTACACATGAAATTGGCATCCCTTTTGCCAGGCTCTCCCCTGTGTTGCAGAAGCTCCCAAGTTCAGCTTATGATCACTCACTCACATATTCACAGCCTTTTGAGGAACGCAGATCATTTGAAGCCCCCCCCCGCCCCCGCTTGCTTTCTACCTGGGCTTTCCAGATAGGTGCAGCCAGAGCAGACAAGACACACAACCCTGGTCGAAAGCTGGGAAATAATTAGGGACACACACAGATCATTTCCAGCTGAACACACAGGCACAACAGGTTGTTTGGAATACATGGAGATCCAGTGAATTTAAAGGAGCAGCAGAACTTTACTGGTTACAATGTACATTTGCTTTTTCTCACACACAGACACACAGTCCTCCACAGTCCTAGGTGTTGAGGGGATTGGGATGGGGGGTTCCATGCTTTCAGGCCCAACTTGCCTGGTTCATGTGACATTTTTTTCTTTATTTCCTTAACAACTTGTTTCCTTTTTACAGTATCTACCTCCCCGAAAGGATATTTTCGACAAGATTCCTGGCTTAGCCTCACACTGCCCCTTGACTTTGTCTTCTGGTCATGGATGTCACCCAGGTTCCCTCCAAGAGAGTGTGTGATAGAACAGTCTTTTCCCTTTTATTCCAAACACATCTAGAGGAAGCCTCAAGAAATGTAATCAAAGGAAAAAGGGGTGGTGGGATTATGACTTCAAGAGAGTCTTTCCCCATTTGTACCTAAAGACAGCACAAAGATGCCCAGGTGACATCTTTTTCTGCTCAGTTCCCATCAGATTGCATCTTACCCAAACCACAAGTACAACACATCCAGTGGACTGGTGTTACAGGGATATTTTGCCATTTGTTGAAACCCTGGATGAGTGTAGCCTCAAGGTTGCCTAATACTGTGACACATTTCTTCCCATCTTGGAAGAAAATCAGTAATGGGATATGACTAGGAACAGAGAAAGTGAGACAGGGAAGGAATAGGACATTGATGGTTGAACCTGCAGGACAGGTAGAAGGAACTTCACTGCAATGGGGAAATTGCCTTAGAGTGAAGCACTCATCTTTTTTTCTCCCCCAAAAGCAAGACAATCACAATCTTTTCTATTACATGCTAGATCAACTATGGGGTCATCAGCCACATTCCTGAACAAAAACATCGTTTCCCTTTTTTCTACCGGCTGAGTCCCAAACAAGAGCCTCCTCACTTGGCAATTGTCAAACTGCTCCTGCATTTCCGATGGACGTGGATCGGCCTCGCTGCTCCGGACAATGAAAACGGAGAAAGGTTCAGAAGTTCCTTTGCTCTTGTGGCCATCAAGAAAGGGGTTTGTGTTGCCTTCTCAGAAAGCCTCCCTGTGCTAACTCAAACAGTGTTAAAGCCCTTCTTTTTATATTTTGCAAACAGGGAAGTAAAAATAATTGTTTGTCAGTTGGACTTTCAGGCTTCGTTAGTGCTAGCAGCAATAATACACGCAACGGAAAGGGCTAAAAAAGTGTTTGGGGGAAAAGTATGGATTGCCACAGCTTTGCCAGACTTAAGTATGAGAGTGTTTTACCAACTCTTTGATCTCCAGCATAAACACCTTTTGTTATCCTTCTTAACTCAGGCAAAGGAAAGAACAGAATATTATGATTTTCATTCATATTTCTCTATGATCAAAGAATTTGTGAAAACAGCATTTCAGTGTTCCTTTTCAAGCCCTGTGTTATCCAAGAAAGTTTGGGGAAGGTGCAGAGAAAAAGCAAACTGGAAAATCCCACCCCAGGATGTGGTTGCAAGAATCCTGTCTGAGGATGCCCATAGCATTTCCACTTCAATCCAGGCTGTGGCCAAGGTCCTCCATGCGGTCTATTCCTCCCTCCTGAATCGCAAAAGGATAAAGCTTAGTGATGATCTGGTTCCACAGGGCATACAGCCATGGCAGGTAAGATTTTCTCTTTTGGGATTCCAAGGATACTTCTTCTACAGTTCCTCATTGTTATGTTGGAGAAGGGCAGGGCTGCACATGGATTGGAGGGTTTCCCAGTTTCCCAGTTGCTAATGCGAGTTCTAATTGGATATGTTAGACTGGGGAGAGAGAGAGAGAGAAAGGGAGAAAGAGGGAGGGTTCTGGATCTAGATCTTCCAAACTGAACCCTTGCGCTGGTTTGGGATGCTGTAAGAAAAGGGAATGTTGCCTCAATAGAGAGAAAGGTGCTTTTCCCATTTCCAGGTTCAATAAACATTGGAATACCATAGTAACCTTCACACTCCATCTTGATCATCCAACACTGACTTTATCTACTGTGCCAAGCAGGGCATCTCTGCTCACTTCTTGTCCTGCCACCACAAGAAGTGGTCACATCTCTGCCCCCTCAAGTGCATCTTCAGGAAACAATTAGTTCAATTGGTCTGCTGCTGCCTCCAACCTCCTGGTGAAAGACTGGCACCCACGACCATTGTTTTGCTTCTGCAATTGTCCTCTCACTTAGGACCAGGTCCCAAGATCCATTTCCTGTTCTTCCTTCCTCCTATGAAAACCAGATCTCACTATATTCATCATTTTCCCCAACCTTTCCTTCCTTCCTTCCTTCCTTCCTTCCTTCCTTCCTTCCTTCTCCCCTCCCCTCCCCTTTCCTCCTCCTCCTCCTCCTCCTCCTCTTCCTTCTTCCTTCTTCCTTCTTCCTTCTTCCTTCTTCCTTCTTCCTTCTTCCTTCCTTCCTTCCTTCCTTCCTCCCTTCCTTCCTTCCTCCCCCCCCCCCCGCCCCTTGCCTCCTCCTCCTCCTCCTCCTCCTCTTCCTTCTTCCTTCTTCCTTCTTCCTTCCTTCCTTCCTTCCTTCCTCCCTTCCTTCCTTCCTCCCCCCCCCCCCGCCCCTTGCCTCCTCCTCCTCCTCCTCCTCCTCTTCCTTCTTCCTTCTTCCTTCTTCCTTCCTTCCTTCCTTCCTTCCTCCCTTCCTTCCTTCCTCCCCCCCCCCCCGCCCCTTGCCTCCTCCTCCTCCTCCTCCTCCTCTTCCTTCTTCCTTCTTCCTTCTTCCTTCCTTCCTTCCTTCCTTCCTCCCTTCCTTCCTTCCTCCCCCCCCCCCCGCCCCTTGCCTCCTCCTCCTCCTCCTCCTCCTCTTCCTTCTTCCTTCTTCCTTCTTCCTTCTTCCTTCTTCCTTCTTCCTTCTTCCTTCTTCTTGCCTTGAAGTCAGTGTTACTCCTGGTGACTGCCTGGACAAGTGCCTGCATTTTTATTTTCACAAGTGTTTTCCCCTTGCCTCTTTCCTAGGGCTGGGAGAGAGGGACTGGCCTAAGGTCACCCAGCTAGCTTTGTGCCTAAGGCATGACTCTCCTGGTTTCTAGCCTGGTACCTTTACCACTACACCAGACTGGCCCTCTTTCCATTTCCTACCACCCCTTATTGATTTCATAAAGTAAGGGTATATAACTGTAGAACCCAAAAAGAAGTAACAAGCAAACAAACAAACCTATACTGGAGTAAGCTTTGCTAATTCTGTTGCCTCTTAACCTTAGAAGAAGAAGAGACAGACTTATGAAAAGGTCAAATTGTTCATTAATAAATCAGAATTTTCACCACATATATGCTAAAGCCCCCTTTTCCTTCTAATACCATTTAGATTGTGGATCATTCCATCTAGCAGGTGATAAAGAGAAACAGGTGGGGTGACAATCCCACAGCAGAGGAAGAGGAAGGGAAGAGGAGGTAAGGCAGGGGAAGCAGGAAAAGAACATTAGGGCATCCCCCAAAGAAGGTAGGACATTTCACCACCAGGCTGCTGCAGATGGTCCAAAGACAGGAGGAATCAATATTCCATAGAAACAAATTTAGGACACTGATGTTGTTGCCAATGCCAACACTACAGGTGGTTGGCACTTTCAACCAGTGTTGGGGAAACACCCATAGTGAGATGACCAGCTTACTAGCATCTGACTGCTGCAATCAAAAGGTATTTGCGACCTGAGAGTAGCAATTTCATAAAAGAAAGCTGGCCACAGTGATGAATTAAAAGGAGAGGGAGAGAGAGAGTAAATCTTAAATTAGATTCTTCCTTCCAACATTTGCAGACAGAGGCACTGAGCTGAAGTTGCCCAGTTTTGAATTAGGACTGGAATGGGTATGTATAAGGTACAGGAGTGATTCTCCATGTCTTTGTAGCTTCATCCTTTTCTAAGAAGCTTCCAGCTTTACAATCTTTCTGTGGATAATGTTTATTTGGATGAGGACAGAAATCCTGTTGCTGACTTTGATATTATGAACTGGGCAGTATTCCCCAATAAGTCTGTTGCTCGAGTGAAAATTGGGAATACAGAAAGAGAGGCCTCTTCAGAAGTCAAGCTCTCCATCGATCAGAGTGCCATCAGATTGCCCACATCATTTTACCAGGTAGCTGAGTCTGCTTGTTTCTGGGTCTTATTATTTATCTGCTCACATGAAATTGGAGCTTACCAGTCTTGCCACTCTGATGGACGTGCATGTTGTAGGAGACTCTCCTACATCTCGTGAACCTCGAGGGACCATTGTTTAAAATGATTTTCTTAAAAATATTTTCACTATACTTTGAAAGAGACTTTATATATTTAATTTTTATGAACTGGGCACAATTGGCATAGGGAATTGGGACATTTGGCAAGAGAGAATAATCTTTTCTCTCCTGCAATCACGTTTTGCTCTCAGAAGGAGCCAAGGATGCAGGAGGATAAAAACACCTGAGTGGCTGAGGGCATCCATTACAGGAACCCTTTGTGACATTG